CAAAATACTGATCTTTATCCTGAATCATATCTCCTGGAAGATATGGAACACTAGTTAATGTATTTTATCTCCAAAATACTGATCTTTATCCTGAATCATATCTCCTGGAAGATAGTAACACTATGTAGTCTATTTACCTCTAAAATACTGATCTTTATCCTGAATCATATCTCCTGGAAGATATGGGACACTATTTAGTGTATTTTACCTCCAAAATACTGATCTTTATCCTGAATAGATATGGAACACTATGTAGTCTATTTACCTCTAAAGTACTGATCTTTATCTGAATCATATCTCCTGGAAGATATGGGACACTATTTAGTGTATTTTACCTCCAAAATACTGATCTTTATCCTGAATCATATCTCCTGGAAGATAGTAACACTATGTAGTCTATTTACCTCTAAAGTACTGATCTTTATCTTGAATCATATCTCCTGGAAGATATGGGACACTATTTAGTGTATTTTACCTCCAAAATACTGATCTTTATCCTGAATCATATCTCATGAAAGATATGGGACACTATTTAGTGTATTTTACCTCCAAAATACTGATCTTTATCCTGAATCATATCTCCTGGAAGATAGGAGCTCTATGTAGTGTATTTACCTCCAAAATACTGATCTTTATCCTGAACCATATCTCCTGGAAGAAAGGGACACTATTTAGTGTATTTTACCTCCAAAATACTGATCTTTATCCTGAATCATATCTCCTGGAAGATATGGAACACTAGTTAATGTATTTTGTCTCCAAAATACTGATTTTTATCCTGAATCATATCTCCTGGAAGATAGTAACACTATGTAGTCTATTTACCTCTAAGATACTGATCTTTATCCTGAATCATATCTCCTGGAAGATATGGGACACTATGTAGTGTATTTACCTCCAAAATACTGATCTTTATCCTGAATCATATTTCCTGGAATATATTGGACACTATGTTTAGTGTATTTTACCTCCAAAATACTGATCTTTATCCTGAATCATATCTCCTGGAAGATATGGGACACTATTTAGTGTATTTTACCTCTAAATACTGATCTTTATCCTGAATCATATCCCTTGGAAGATAGGAACACTATTAATGTATTTTACCTCCAAAATACTGAGCTTTATCCTGAATCATATCTCCTGGAAGATAGGAACACTATGTAGTCTATTTATCTCCAAAATACTGATCTTTATCCTGAATCATATCTCCTGGAAGATATGGTGGACACTATTTAGTGTATTTACCTCCAAAATACTGATCTTTATCCTGAATCATATCTCCTGGAAGATATGGGACACTATGTAGTGTATTTACCTCCAAAATACTGATCTTTATCCTGAATCATATCTCCTGGAAGATATGGAACACTATGACGTGGATTCTCCTTCCTAAGAGGGAAGTGTTGAAGAAGTTCCTCTGGTCCACCATACCAGTATTCATCACCTATATCTAGAAGTACATGATTTGATGCACTGTATTTCCACCAGCCAAAACAGAACTTCTGATTTAAAACAACAGTTTAACTTCCTTGTGGGATTATTTATTTCTCTATAGAGAAAGTTTGGCGTATTTTTCATACAATACACAATTTACCGCACAAAGTACGCTGCTTAACATTCTTATAAAAAAGGAACAGTTTAGTTCTAAGGATGGAGGTTTATTTGACGTATATCGGGAACTACATCTATAAACTTACTGTCAAATGGCTATATAGAACTAAACTTATAGAATGCAACATTAAAATGTTTTTTTGAACTTCACTAATGCCTTTTATATGAAAGAAGATCAATAATCAATACGTAATATATTGTTTGGTATTTCAAAGATAGAAATAAATCTTACAGAAAAAAAATAAAGGCTTAAATAGTCCCAATTTATGAAAACACATTGCGATGTAAAAATGTGTGCAAAGTTGCAATCAATGTTGGGTCTAATTCCAAACTTGTATTGCGATAGGGAAAATCATTTATCTCTGGGAAAATCCTGTAGAACAAAATACTTAAAACTAATTATTTACCTATACAGTCTTCTATGGAGGAAAGTTGTTCACTTTTCCACAAAATCTAAAGAATAAATTCATGCATCTCGTGAAATATGTATCTTGACATTTTCTTATTTCAAGTTAAAATGAAAAAATTGGATAAAAGCTTAAGAAGAAGCAGTTCTTCCTTTGATCTTCCTTTTTAATATTTGCTTCAATATATGATTTTTAAATATTGTTTTTAGAATTTAACTTTTATGTGTTCCATTATTTTGTTAGACCTTATATTTCTCATCCACTTTTTCTTACAAATAATATTTTCAGTAATTACATATGTAAATTTTGCTAAAGGTATGACTGGTAAACTTTCTGTATATTAGCAGAAATTATATTGTTAAAAAAACTAAAAGAATCTACTAGTACTAATACGACTTTGTGACCTCGTGCCACCTCTAGTGTTAATTATTATATTACGTAAAAATATAGATTTTTAATGTAAAGCTGACCTTTTTTTCTTGACATATTTTAAGTTTGAATAAGTGGCCGCGCAGGCAAATTAGTTTTTGAATCTATTCTTGAAAATCAAAGTTTAAGGGCTAGAGGGTGCCTGATCTTTCTTTTTGCACTCCTAATTTGTCCAGGGGAAAATTGAGAAAAATATTTATATTTAGTCTTTTTTTTCTATTTTTCCTGGTATGTAAATATATGAACAATATGTTTTTTAGAAGTTGGATTCCATGTGTCTCTCAGAATAATTAGATGTTGATTAACCCTAGAAAGATTGGGGTTTCTGAAAATCATAACATTAGGTAAGGGGGGGGGGGGAAGGGCTACAGATTTTTTAGATTTATTTTATTGTCCCCCCCCACCCCCGTGGTAAAAAGGGGCTATAAGGCTATTTATAAAAAGGAACCACGGACTATTATCATAATTTCAAATGACCCGCCATTTTTTAAAATGGAATATCTGCTGTATACAAAGTTGCTATGAACACCTTTATCCAAGAAATGATAAGGAAGATATCGCTGGTTTCCCATCTGAAATGAAATAACTAATTTCTGATAATTTTTTTATTTTATAAGTATTGACCTTGATCAGGAAAACGTTTGTAANTTCCTTTAAGTTACCTCAACACAATTATCATATTTAGAGTTTGTTACAGCTAATTCTGCCAGTCCTTCCCAACTAAAACATAAAAAATGAGTTTTAATTATTTTTCTTCAAAACATGTCCCGAAAGATTTTTACCGAAAAACTCAGCTCCAAAGGAAATTTTTCTGTTACTGTATAACCAGAAAATTTTGAAATAGAAAGTCGACTCACAGACTCAAGTAACGACTTTTAATAGTCCAATAAGCATGAGGCACTGTAATTGTGCAGTGTAAACAGACCCGTTTCACTTAATAAGTAATTTAATAACTTCCTAGTAAAACTATTTGCTTTGTAACAACATAAAGTACACTTTAGTAATGTTTTATGTCGTCTTTCTATTCCACAATTTTCTGATTATCACTGTGATTTCGAAAATCTCTAAAAAAGGAGGAAAAAACTACGTTTATGACCGATGGGATCTGAATTCACAACTTATTTCTTTTAATTAAAAGTTATCAGCTCAGAGCATGAAACTTGTGAATCATCGGAAAAGGTTGTTGAACCTATTCTCCCCCTGTGACAAGAAGTATCGATTTCTCCCGGGTAGTGACTACATTATTTTCTCTTCATTTACAAATTTTCATCTTTTGGCGAATATTTATTTAAGTAGGTAAATTGTAAATTAAAGACTAAGCTTACCTCGAAATATGAAACAAATAAGATATGCAGTTTTTCACCAATGTGAGAAGCTGAAAAGCCTATCCGTCTATATTTAAGCTAATAAAAATTCGTAAAGTTAAAAAAAACGCCTCAGCTTACTTGTAGCATAGATCCGTACAGTTTCCTTGAACTGGTGTCCCAGGAATATTAATTCCTAAACTCCCAGATAATGCTCTTACACCTGGAAATATATTTATTGATATATAGATATTTTGGAACAGATTTTTTTGGAATACATTTTACGAAATAGTTTTTTAAAATATGTTTCCTGGAAAACATTTCTTGGAATACAGCGATAGGGCCAAATACCTTGAGTTAAATGAATGGCCTTAAACACCTAGTGTTAAACGAGGGGCCCTATAAACCTAGTGTTAAATGAATGGCTTTTAGCCTAGTGTTAAATAAATGACCCTTAAGCCTAGTATTAAATAATGGCCCTAGATACCCTATTGTTAAATGAAGGGCCCTAAAAAACCAAGTGTTAAATGTATGTTCCTCAAAGCCTTGTGTTAAATGAATGTCCCTCAAATCCAAGTGTTAAATGAATGGTCCTCAAAGCCTAGTGTTAAATGAATGGTCCTCATAGCTTAGTGTTATGACCCTAAAAAGCCTAGAGTAAAATTAATGGCCCTCAAAGCCAAGTGTTAAATGAATGTCCCTTAAAGCCTAGTGTTAAATGAATGGCCCTCAAGCCTTGTGTTAAATGAATGTCCCTCAAATCTAGCTTAGTGTTAAATGAATGGCCCTCAAAGCCTTGTGTTAAATGAATGGCCCTCAAAGCTTATTGTTAAATGAATGACCCTCAAAGCCTTATGCTAAATGAATGACCCTAAAAGACTTATGCTAAATGAATGGCCCTCAAAACCTAGTGTTAAATGAATGGCCCTAAAAAGCCTAGCGTTAAATGAATGGCCCCAAAAAGCCTACTGTTAAATGAATGACCCTCAAAGCCTTGTGTTACATGAATGGTCCTAAAAAGCCTAGTATTAAATGAATGGCCCTACCCAAATTATTTTTCATTTCAAACTTTAAGTTTTGTCCGTCCCAGTCCAGTAGAAAAGAAGTCAGAAGGAGGCTCAACATTATGCCTGAAACTGAAACACGTATGTATTTCTGATAAAAAAAGCAGTTTAACTTTCTTGTGGGATAATATCCAGGGTTATCCACAAAGGATGAGACTTCAGAGACGACTGTACAAAGTTGAAACAGTTTGTTTCCTTGTATTTCGGATTCTCTGCAACTTGGGATCGTCATATTTAAAGAAATTTATGTCGTCTTTACAGTCTCGTCCTTTATGTGTAACCCTGAATACTGAATAACTACAAATAATAAGCCAGAGGCCGAATTTAAAGAATTTGAGCTGCGGTTTAAATCCGCCAAAACCCGGGTTAAATTAAGCGCCGGCTTAAATCTTGAAACATTTGATACAATTTTAAGTGGAACCAAGCATATTTAAACCGCGGCTCAAATTCTTTAAATTCGGCCTCTGGGGTGTCAAATAAGTGTTTTTAGTTTTTTATGATTGAGCGCCAAAATCTCAACTTAAGAATATTTCAAAATCAAGAAATGCTTGATTTAAAACTAAGATGAATTCCTTATATAGATTTTTAAAATAAAAAATAAGAATGTGTGAATTGGATAAGGAAATAATCAATGTTTATAATTCCAAAAAAGTTGTCTAGAAAAAGTTCTGTCTGCTACGCAGACATCGCGCTATCATCTCATATTTAATTTTCAAACAAAGAAATAGAAAATAGGCTTGTTGTTCTTATTATTGAAATATAAGTGATGAAGGGAAATTGTTTAATGATTACAATCAAAATATCATCGCTGAATGTTTGTCAAATTTTACAGCTATTATTGACGTAAAAATCGTATTTTTCATTAAAAGTGTGTTGATTCAAAAAATTTCCCTTAGAAATATTTCTACACTAAACCTGCCGATAAAGTATTTTTAACTTTAATAATTTATTTTTGGATAAGGGTTGTAGGCACAAGCTCACGCATACAAAATAAAAACGAAATATCAATGAATCTATTTCCAAATCAAAGTATTTCTATTATTTTGTTCTGCTCAAGATCAGTTAAAAGTCATACACCCCAACGTTTTGTGTCTTAAAAACTTGACCATGAAACCTGCCGATAAAGTATAAATTAAGTCTCTAGTAAAGTAATTAGCAGAATAAAATATCCATGTTCAAAAAAAGGCCACCTCTTATTGTTCTAGTTTAGGAGGGTCATTTCACAGCACATCATGATAGGTACTTTTTTTTCCAAGGGTATTTTCCCAAATGTGCAATTCCTAAGTCTGTTCTATCCACAGCGCTTAGTCCCCTAGCCTAACCTAACCTTTGGGAAGTTGCCGCTTGGGAAACTGCACACTTAGGAAGTTGCCACTTGGAAAATTGTCACTTGGGAAGTCGCCTTTGGGAAAGTAACTAACACCTCGTGAAATAATTATGAGAACGTTCGATTTTGACCGGTGGAAATTCAGTACACAAAATAAAACAATTGACAAGCATATAATGATCATGTCAAAAGTCCTTTAAAATCAAACGGGGTAAAAGGCTTACGGCGAAAAATTATCGATAGGGATCGCTTCTATTATTACGTCTATCTGTTGCGTCTGTAAGGAGAAAATTGTTAGAAACGACTCATACCGAAGAACCTAGCGTCCACACAAATTCAGACAGTTGTAACATTCGACTTGGATCGTAAAAAAATTAATTTAATTCCAAACTAATCATTCAGATATTACAACCTGTAATCATCGATAATTTTTCGACGTAAGCCATACCCCCTTTCATTTTTCGCGAACACTCCCTTTAATTTTATATAATTTCTTTTCATGATTACGTTCAAGGATTCACTAACAAACATCTGTAGTTGTCTTATCTTTAGAAATTAGATAATATAAAGTTATAATATCTTTATTAGGATTATTTTGTTTTATTTATTGAATTTGAATCAGAATATTAAATACTTGCTTGGGAACCCATCTTTGCCTTGAAAGAACTTTCCCGTGGTTCTACAGAGTTTTAAAATTTGAGGCAAACAAGTTGAGGAGTTTCTGAGTTATGATCGGACATACAAACAAACAAATAGAGATTTCTACTTAATATATATAGAAGATAGATAGTTTTAGAAATATCATAAATAATAATCATATGGGAATTTATCTCTGCAATGTTTCTTGAGCATGATGTATAACTTATTAATAAACCAATATGCTAAGTAGCAGCGTCGGTTACCCCTAAAAAATAAGCTTTTAATGACGACATAAAACTTTTTTATTTTCTAGATCTGAAGTTTAACTTGGTCTTTGATCTCAGCACCACTCTGAAAGTTGTATGATTCGACACTGTACAACATGTACTGTTCACACAATATGATTCGAGACTGTACAACATGTACTGTACACACAATATGATTCGAGACTGTACAACATGTACTGTACACACAATATGATTCAAGACTGTACACCATGTACTGTACACACAATATGATTCGAGACTGTACAGCATGTACTGTACACACAATATGATTCGAGACTGTACAACATGTACTGTACACACAATATGATTCGAAACTGTACAACATGTACTGTACACACAATATGCATTCAGTCGTACTTTCCGGTCTGGGCTACCCAGTGTAAAGTCAACCCAACACGTTTTATGCAACAAATGTAACCTGGCAAGATCACAGTGATATCTTTAATATAGTCTTGTCTGGGATTAAGAGAATCAACATGAAATCCGTACAGTCGTCTTTGAAATCTCATTCATTTGTGGGTTACCCTGTACATTCATTGAATTATTCCGAGTGTACTCAGCAAAAAAAATAAGAAAATATCTTTTGTGTTGATATTGTATAAGATTATTAAAAGTAGTATCATCAAAAATTTCATACTCGACAAACTTCAAACTTTAAAGTTTTATAAATTTAAAAATTGCCTCGGACAGATTGTTCCATCTTGCAGTCTGAAGTTTTAACTTGGATCTCCTTTTGGCTGGATATTTTATACCTTACTACCTTACTTTTATACCTTTCTACCTGTAGAAATGATGATTTCAAACAATCTGATAAAACTTTGATTGTAGTTTCAAAGAAACCTTCAGAATTGGTCATCAAACCAATACTATTTAGAACAGAAGTTGTAGTCAGGGGCGTATTTAGAGGGAGATGGGCTATTGGGGCTTAGACCAACCTCAGGGCCAGCGAAACCTGTGGATTTCAGGTCCCAACAAGTGCTGAGGCCCCCCCCCCCACACTATGGAAAGAATTAAAGATTAATTTAATAATAGATCTATACTAACAATTTTGGATTCTCAGTAATAAATATTACTTTGACATAATTCAATCTGTCTGAAAAAAAAATCAAAAATAGCTTTTTCTCATTAAATTGAAACAAAACAATTTATTTATAAATATCACATGAATCACTAGACGGTTGCAATATCTAAAGAAAGTTGTTGAATGGTTAGAGTGTATGGACTATTCTTCACATGTTCTCCGTGTAACTTGACAGTTAGTAGTGCGATACCGTGGCACGGTGGGGTAAACCGGAGCAGCCAATCAGATCCATTCCTTCTACTCAGTTTCACATCAACCTCGTGGGTCACACCAACAGTTGGGAACACAAGAAGATTGCACTAGGATTAATTTATTTTAAACAGAGGCGGTTAATTTGAAGAATTTGAGACATGGCTCAAACATGGTTGTTCCACTTGAAATTGTATTCAGTGTTTAGAGATTTGAGCCAGCGCTCAATTGGAACCGGTTTTTAGTGGTTTAAACGCTCGATTTGGATTTTTTTAAATTCTGTCTCAGATTTCATTATACGTTACTGGCAGAAAATTAAAAGAACATGAACTTAAAAAAAACCTCAAAGAGTTCATTAATTGATATTCCTACCAGAATATCCGGATCCTTGTCAACATAAAGCCTCATTCCATTTTCATCTGCCAGAATCAAAGGTATTGAGCAGAGCACCTATATGATAATGATATATTATGACCATCAAAAATGCTAATCATATGCTAAAATTATGTATGTTTGGCTTCTTAGTACACTTTTGATGTAAACAAGTTTTTAGTATTCAATGTCTTAATTTTACTTTTCCAGCAATAGTATATCATTGGTTACAAGTTTTGCTACTTTAACTTGGATGTTAAGAACAAGAACCTTTTCATATAGCGTTGAAGATATATCAGCATGTGATGTTGATGAAGATATTGTGCAAGCTGAAGCAGATCCAGAAACTCCATTAGTATCTGTAACAAACAGATAACCAGATTATATGGCGATTTTATTACTTAACCATCATTACCGACCTTTCATTCCCCCAAAGAGGCTACTTAACATCCCTTGGGACAGTTATGTAAAATAACCTCTTGCTTTGCGAAGTTTTTGGGAAAATATTTCCGCACTTTTCTTTCAAAAGACGCTAAATTTGTGTACCAATTTTGCCTGCAAAACATTTTTCGCTTGAGTCTGGTTGTGTAATTGTAAATTGGTTTTGAGCTCGGCAAAGTTATATTAACCAAAACAGATAAAAATGTTAATGAAAATACTAAAAATTTTGTTAATTTCAACGTTTCTTATCCAAAACTAAAATAAACATCGCTAAGAATTTAAGACTGAACCAATTTTAAGAATTAAAAAAATTACATGAATATAAATAAAGAATTAAAATGTTGAAATCAGAAATATTAATATAAATAAAGCAAATATAAAATATTAGAATATAAAAGTGTAAATAAAAGAAAGATACCATCTCTTTAATTACCTGTCAAAGTTTTTGGTACAAACTCAAGCCTATTAGTTAAAGCAGATCCTGAAAAAAAATTTAAGATATACAAAACACAATTTTTTCTTTCAAAGTCATTACTCTGGTTTTTTTAAAAATACACCAATTTAAATAGAAAATTGCGCAAAATTTTTGTTTATTGATGCTGAAAAGCAGAAGTTAAAAGCCAAATTGTAACTAGAAAAAAAACTATTTTACCAGTTGCAAATAACTTTTCGCTTAATGCTTCTAATCTCTTGGCCAAGGGTATCATGAGACGAGCAATCTGAAAAAAGTGATAATTACAGAAAAATCTTTTTCTTTTGTTTTAGGTATCAATCTCATCAAAGAGAGTTTAACCTTACCTAGCCAAATTGTTCTGTGTTCAAGGTTAAGAGGAAGGTTTTAAAAACCTATTTTTGATTTTTTCAGAATTTAATTATGAAGTTGGAAATTCAAGAAGTTTTCGCATTTTTTCTCAAACAGTTTAGAGTTATCTATAAATACAACTTTAGGGGGGGGGGGGTGACCACCCACAATTGTGATAGGGTTAAACTATATGACAAAGGGCTAAATGCAGCATAATTAGTTCTTTTTATTGAATGAATATGTTTTTCTGCGATATTGATTGGTTTCGCAATATTAATTAATCAAATCAGAGCTGGGAACTCTTGTATTGTGGATATTATGATAAATTCTTGATATTGATATTTTGTTAATCTGCAGATTAATTTAATATTTATTCGATATCCCGCATGGTAAACATACAAAACAGGGGAGGAAAACTAAAATGAAGAAATGGAAAGGTATATTTTTTGTAGATCCTCAAATTAAACGTGCCCACAGTTGATATCAACATCAAGCTATGGGGATTGTGAGTATTCAAGTGCTAGAAACAACTTAAGAATAATATGTACTGCTTTGACATTTTATCTTGAAATCCAATTGAGTTTTTGCCACAAACTCTGATGTTCTATTCCCTATATCTGTGCAGTGTGTGACCTGATGTCAAAAACCTTGAATATTTCAAACTTGGAATTCTGTTAGATTAAATAATCTTAATATCACCGCCAGGTTGCAAAGATATATGAATTAGAAAATTTGATTTTGTGGCAAAAACTTAATTTTCCTTTGAAGGGAAATGCTTAATCACTCAAATGAAGTTATCCCTGAAGTGAATGACCACCAAAGGACATCGCTAATGAAAAATAAAATAAAAAGATGGAGATCATTGAGATTCAATCACAACTCAAAAGTTAACATTAAAAATCTTCTATGTATTTTTATGACCAGAACAAAAACCTTCCATGCATGACCCATAACAAAAGTGGGAACAAAATTATATTTTCCTTGGGGGGGGGGGGGGNTGGGGTTAACATGGGTTTTACAGTTGCTACACAAATCAGATAATATCTTTTGAATTTAAAATCTTCACCTCATTTCCTTTTCGTTCCTCCAGAATAAACTTTATTTGAGAGCAGAGCAACTCCAGATCTATCTTGTACTGCTCTAGAGTAATATATTTTAGAGCAGAGCAACTCGAGAACTTTCTTGTACTGCTCTAAAGTAATATATTTGAGCGCAGAGCAACTCTAGATCTATCTTGTACTGCTCTAGAGTAATATATTTGAGCGCAGAGCAACTCTAGATCTATCTTGTACTGCTCTAATGTAATATATTTGAGCGAAGAGCAACTCCAGATCTATCTTGTACTGCTCTAGAGTAATATAATTTAGAGCAGAGCAACTCTAGATCTATCTTGTACTGCTCTAAAGTAATATATTTCAGAGTTTAAAAGAAACTTCATTTAAAACAAAAAAAGCTTAAAAAATATCTTGTTTTTTGGGTTGACTTTTTGCCACTAACACTGATTTTCTTATCCCTAAATCCTTGCAACCCAATGTCGAAGACCATCAGGTTGTAGAGACATAAATTTGTTTGTGACAAAGACTTAATTCTTTTTTTGGTGGCATCTACAAAACCAGCATTAAGGGTCATGTCTCTAATTTTTTTTAAATCAATGAAAAAGTCAAAAAAATTTTTTAGTTTTTCAATGTATAAAAAATCAATATTTTAGCCTTTTCCTTATCAAATAAAAAATGAAGGTTTCTGGTCACTGCACACAGATGTATCTTATCTTTCTTGTTTTATTATTAAATAAATGTGGTTCTACCATTATTAACTTTAAGAAATGTTTCACACGCAAAATATTAATCAAAGATATTAATATTAAAGATTACCCAGTTCTATTTCTTCTCGAAGAAGAAGGTTTTCTCGTCTTTCGAAATCCGGATCTTTCTGTCTATCCTAAATTAAATTTTGAGAATTTAAAAAAATCAAAAGTTTCAAAAATAATTGAAGAATAAAATAAATTCAGAGAAATAATTTAAAATTTTTAAAATGTAGATTTTTTTACCCCAAAAATCAATTTTTTTTCAAAGAAATAGGGCCAGAAAACATCTTTTTACGACGCCCCCTTTATATAGTGAAACACTAAGCAGAAGAAATACCTTTTGTTGTCTGACACTGTTTACATATCCCTATTAAAGAAAAGAATCAGTATAAGATTAAACATGGCGTATTTTATAATAATCAAATTTAAAATTCGGAAAAATTCAACTAGCTCTTATAGCCTCTAACCATGTACCTAGATTAAACGTCTAGCAAGTAGTTGAACTAGCCATATAACTAGATTAACTAGCTATCTAAAAGTTGATAAAAGTCCCAATCTACAAGAGAATCAACATGAGATAAAAAAAATTCGTTTTTTGCAAAACATTATGTAATTTAAAGACGATAAATTTTGGTTTTTATTTATTTAAAAATCTGAGGAAAATGTTAAGCTCTGCCAATTTAAAAAATAAAAATGCAGACATCATTTTATAAATTCCAAGAGGAGGGGTTTTTAATTGTTTATAATAACATATTTGTAAAAATACAAATTACAAATTACAAATTAAAAGCGATTTTAAACTTTAAAGTCGTCCTTTCGTTGTTTCGTTTGTTCGCCCTGTATTAATTTCAATTCTTGCAATGCCTGATTTACAACGGTACCTTTGAAACATCGATCAAAAATTTTGAAGATAACGTCGTTTTTCTCATTTGATAAAAGTCTATATTTGTGCGATTGTCGTTTCTCCATTGCTTCTTATAAGCAAGAAATGCGCAGTCACTTGTGCAGAGAAGCAGCAAAGGAAAATCAACAGTTTAAAGAAACAAAAACATTGATATCTAAATCATACTTGATCTTACGAAGTTTTAAGGGTACAGTTGTGAATCGGACATCTTTGCATTGAGGGTCACTTGATCTATGGTCGCTTACAGTACCTTTAGAGAACATATAGTACGTTTGAATAAGAAACTTGCCTCATAAAAAGAGGAAACCTCTTTTCTAGATTTCTTTTTACCACTCCACTCTGATTTCCTGTATAAAAGGGACACATTACGATTTTTCGAAAATAGAACAAATTTAAATGTCAAACTTTTTAAATTTCTATTTTTTATTTTGGAAATTTTTTAAAATGAAATATCAAAAAATTGATTATATTCCAATTTTTTTTTCCAACCTACCTTGCAGCGCGGATCTGTTCAATGCTGCCATCAATATGATTCACCCTGTCTCGGATTTCCAACATGGCTCCCCTGATAAGATAAACTTAAATCTATTCAATTTTATAATTTTCATTGAAAATAATTTACTTAATTCAATATAGCGATTAGCGACCCTTCCTTTTTAAAGTGACATGTTCCATTCACAATAGTACCACCACCAGTCCTGTTAAACCATGAGAATTAAGATTTTCTAATATTATTTCAATTTTTCTATTAAATGCACTTTTGTCTGTTAAAAGTATATTTCATAAATGACACCATAATATAACTCTTATTGATCTAAATACTAGGATTCATTAATTGTAATTCATTTTGGCCAAATTTCTAATTGAAAAGTTTTAAAAACATCCTAATTTTTGCAAATTAAATATATTTTTAAAAACATTTTCGAACCTTAGAGTTTGATAAAGATGAGCGCTCATAGCATTTAAGTCCTGTAAAAATATATTATAATGTATTATCAGCTATATTGAAGCATTTAAATTGACCGTCCCGGATTCACAACAATACCAAGCTTGAAACCTTAATCTGTCCAAAAATATGGAAACTATCGTTTAAACTCTTCCGTATTTACAATTTATTCCATTGTATCTAAAGCAGGAATCCGACCGTAACTTTAATAATGAATATCTCATTCCTTCAAGATAATGTTTTGAAATAAGGCATTTGATCTATTCCCATTTTATTATATAGAATATGTACATTTCCAATTGCTGCACGCACGCGCACGCATGTATTTGCCTGTATCCTAATTATAGCTTCAGTAAGGCCTAAACCAACCATGGACACTGATGATAAAAACATATTTTGATTTCTTTTCTTAATAGATGACATTCGTGTAAGCAATTATATGAAATCATTGTAAAAATTGTCCTTATCAATGTTATATTGTTGCTATAATACTTCAATCTATTTCAGTGAAACCAAACTCTCTTCTACAAAGTAACACCATCTGATTAAAGAATCAAAGAAAACACAGTTTATATAGTGAGAGTAGTTTGAAACCGGTCATCCAAAGAAATCAATGTAATAAGACAAATCTTTGAATGGAACTGTTGTGAATTGACACGTCAATTACCTGTATAAAATGATCCATATGTTTGGTTTTCAAACAAGCTCCACACACTGACACGCTAGAATACTTATTTAAAGATCTAGAATTTATTTGTCAAAAATAAGATTTTGAAATTGCGTTTGCCTGCAATTGTGGCAGTATTGTGTTGTAGGGATATGATGAACAGGACAGATACAAGATGATGAAGAACTAGGAGAACTAGGAGAACTAAGTGACCTAGGAGAACTAGATGTTGATGATAATGATGAGGTTTGGAAACTCGGGGAACCAGGAAATGAAGTTGATCCGCATTGAAAGTTTCCAAATCCAAATCTTAAGAAAATAAATCTTTAATAACTCCTATAACTATACTATAACTATAATGTTAGTTATGTTAGTAACTAGCTGGAGGGCCCGACATTGCCAAGGCTTTTATCATTTCTCATAGTTACTCCCGCCGTTTACCCGCGCTTGGTATTAAATTATTATTATTATTACACAAGAGCTTTATTTTATAGACGATAATACTATTGATACTAATGATAATTATGATAATAAAGATGGAAATAAAAATTTCAATAATATTAATGTTATTGATAGTAGAGTGATAATAATAGTGATAATAACGATGTTAAAAATAGTTCCAATTTGTTTATTTTCAACTTCTGGGGCCTTGAATATATCGTTAAATTGCTCACTCAATGATTGGACAAAGAAAGATTTAACAAGTTGCAGGGAATCGCAATTGTCAGGAAACTGACAGTATAAATTCCGTACAGTCGTCTGTAAAGTGCTATCCTTTCTGCCATTCTGGGCAACCCTGTTTGTTGTAAAATATCACATACATAGTTCAGAATTTCTGCCTGTCACGCTAAATAAATATGCAAAGAAATAATGCTTGAATAGTGTACAGTGTACAGTGTTGCACTATTTTAACATAACTTCGAGGATTTCTTTCTATTTGAAGTTCAAAACTTTTCTGAGTTTATAAATTTAAATAACATAGCTCAGTGAAGGGAGGGGTGGGGGGAGGGCCATATAGGACAAACATATTTTTTCTATGCCAAGGAAGTAGTGAACAATTATTTTCAATTAAATAACCTTTTTAAACCTCCCTTTCTTGTCCAAAGGCCGAATTTAAATAATTTGAGCCGCGGCTTAAATTTGAGACGCGGCTCAAATATGGTTGGTTCCACTTAAAATTGTATTCAATGTTTCAAAATTTAAGCCGGCGCTCAAATGAAACCGGTTTTTGGCGGATTTGAGACGCGGCTCAAATTTATTAAATTTGGAAACAGGCTGGTTTAGAACTGGGATCAAAAAGTGGGTTTTAATTGTAAGCCCACTTTCACGGTGGTCTAGAAATTGCATGCTTTCGCGTAAAAATCTATAAGAATTTTGCAAATTAACTCTTTAAAATCAAAGGCCAAGGTGTTTGTTGTGATACTTTTCATGAGAATTGAACCAACTTTTTACAACATTCAGATTTCTGGATGTTTGTTCTTTATTGTCCCGGTTGGCCACTTTATTGTCCCTGCTGGTTTTGAACCGGGTTTGTTTCAAATTTAGGGACACTTTATTGTCCCATTGGGCAGTTTAATTGTCCCAGTTGGAAACTTTATTGCCCGGTTGGTCACTTTATTGTCCCAGTTGGAAACTTTATTGTCCCAGTTGGAAACTTTATTGTCATCGCTAGCTTTCAAATTTCGGAAAAAAATAAAATTGTATCTTTTTAAATATTTTAAACATGCCTTTATGTGCCCATTTAGGATTTATTATTGCCCTGCTGATAAACCTGGTTAACAGATAATTAATGACATTATGATATTGAGCTGGGATTTATACACTTTTTAGGACAATTATATCGATATAATACCCAGCCGCAACCCTTGACTGAAGGTAAATAATTTTTTGATAATTTTTACCTTGATACAGGATAGCTTGAATGGCAAACCGGGCAAAGAAACCATCCCAATAAATTTTCTCCATTTCGAGTCTAAATATTTAACCAAAATGTGTACTCAATCAGGGAGGGGTTGCAGGGCCGCCATGAGCTCCACCTCACTCAGTATAGTGTAGTTTGTTTGTGCAAACTAACGAACCCTATGCATTTTAATTACAACCTTTTCAAAATATAGAAAGTAAAACTCGACATCTAAATAATTGGACTTGGAAGGTTGAAACAACCCAAAAGCTAAATAAATAAACGACTATTTACGTTAAGCAATAATCTATTTTTTGTGATGTGGATGAAAAGAATAAATTTCTCAATTTTTTCATTATAACTTTTACAGAAAATTCTGATAGAAATAAAAATATCTGACAACCTCTACAAAAGGTTTTGCCAAGTTCTGATACCATTTTTTAACTCTGTATCTGACTTTAATTCTGTCTCATGAATTATCCTGTTTGTTCTCAATTTGACCTTTAACAATATTGATTTAGAATAATCCTGTTGTTTATACTTTATCCTTCACTTGTTCCCCCGATATCGTGATCTTAGTCATGGGCATCGTTTTTAATAGTTTTATCGTTAAGCGAAATTAAAGGTTTAACAAAAAGGAAAACATCCAAAGTTATTTGTGAAGATTTTCAATTTCCAGAATGTTAATAACATGCCAAAAACGATTGCATTTTCTGGTAGGTTTTTTAAACGCTTTTATGGTTTTTGGCCTTTTAAAGAGAGTTACGTAGAAAAATATTAGATGGTATTTGCTACTAATCTTACTACTATCAGTTGTGTCTTAAAAGAGAAATTTTTTAAATGACTCATATTTAAGAACGTAGCGTCCATACAAATTCAGAAAGTTGCAATATTCAACTCGGGTCGTAAAAAAATTTATTTAATTCCAAACAAATCATTCAGATATTACAACCTAATCATCGATAATTTTTCGACGCATTCGTATTTAGTTAATATTTTATAATATTTTTTATAAGACGCAACAGATAGAAGTATATTGTAACAATCACCATCGGATATTTTTCGACGTTATCCTACACCGGCTTTTTCATTTTTCGCGAACACTTCCTTTAAATGGCATCCCATAAAATCTTTGAAGGTTTCATGCATGTCCAAACTGTGTTCTGAAGTTTGCGTTTACTAAACTATGCATATTTTAATACTTTGAGGGAAAACGAATCAAGAAACTATATTTTTGGTTCGTTTCTTTCATACATATTAACTCAGGGTAAAAATTTGGCATAGTTTAACGAAAGCAAATGTTTTTAAGAAACAGATTTTTACTTTTTAAAATATTTTCAATGCCCAAAACTATCTCTGATATAGAAAAAAATATCTGTAAACATTGTTATTTATAATCTGTTGTTTACTGTTTTAGCATTATACAACCTCCTTGCTTCTCAGCTTTCTCAAGAACAGATCAATTCTCCTTAGATAAAAGTAAATAATTATAGATAATCAGAAATATGATGATATCGTTCAAACTATTGTCATTGTAAATAATTTATGATGTTATAAATTCATTTGCAATGGTTCAAAATTTTTGTTTTAAATATTTTAGATTACTAATTGTTATGTATTTTTATGTATTGTTATGTATTGTTATGTATTATTATGTATTGTTATGTATTGTTATGTATTGTTATGTATTGTTATGTATTGTTATGTATTGTTATGTATTGCAAAACCAAGATGAGTGTTAAATGAGTTAAATTAGGGGCCGCAAAATAAATGTCTTAAGAATATTCTCATCTAATTCAAAAATGCTATGTTAGATATTTTCCTTAGGAGGTCCAGTTTCATTTGCCATAATATTTTTGGCCATAATTATTTTTGCCATAATTACATTTGCCATAATACATTTGCCATAAGTAACACTTGCCATAAATCACACTTGCCATAAGTTACACTTGCCATAATGGTTACACTTGCCATAATTACACTTGCCATATTTACTCTTGCCATAATTAAAATAAAATTTGGTTTGAATTAACAAACATGTATATTTATATTTTCTTTTACAATTACAAATTGAATACAAATTACAAATCTAATGCAGAGACAGTTCATGAGCTATCAGGTTTAGGTACTCTTCTATGGGAAGAGTATTGAACTGTTGGCCAATGTTTGCAATCCTCTCATAGTGACTCTTCACTAAGCTCTTTCTCCCTATATTTGTGTTCATATCCCTCCCTGCAGCATTGGAGACTATGATCCGTTTTGTCTCAGACTCTTGATTGACAAAACCTTGTATGATTTTCCACATCTTGGGTTTCATGCCCATTTCTTGGTTCCAGGTTCTGTTCCAGGATTCCAGTCCATTGTTTGTCACCACTGGATCCTCTTCCAATATACCTGAATACACATTCCACGTGTCATTGGCAAAGATTGGAGGGCGTCTACTAGTTCTTCTCCCGGTTCTGGCCAAACCCACCTTGCCAATCCAGGTCTGGTCCATGTATTTCACATACTCTTCAAGCTCTTCAGATCCTTCATTCCAGGTTTCATCATTCTCTATTTTCTCTTCAATTACAGCAACGATGTGTTCTTCATAAACCTTGACAACATCTTCTACAGGTAACATAGCTCAAGGCAAAAACTTTATGCAGCAATTCATTGAACTCTATGTCCCCGTTGTAAAATTCTTTCAGTACCAAATCACCTAACCTGCTAAGAAAAGCTTTCCTGTAATGGAATTGGCAGCCTTGTCTACTAACTGTTGGGGCTATAGCAGCCAGAGATTTCCAAACAGACTGTTTAAAATCACATACAATAACTGAGAGAGAATTATCATTGCCAACCAGGGCAAAAATCTTGTTGAGCATCAGACTATAAGTTTCAGCTTTTTTGTTAGGCAAAAGTCCGAAACCACATGCAAGTCCCTGCCCACCTATTTCAGATCTAGCCATAACTATGTATACTTGACTGAAGGGGGAAGGAGTGGTCCGGAAGGTTCCATCCATGCACCAAACCTTATGAGTTCTCAGTATCTGTGCACCAGCTTCACTTATGTAGACGAGTACAGCTTCAATCTCATCCTCATTGGTCCAACTTTTAAGTCTTAGAAAATATTTACCATCATTGGTATTCGAGAACTTTTCAGGAAAATTGGTAGTCATGAATGAAGCAAAATCTCCAGTCTTTGGGATGGCAGGTGTAGGGTTTACTATTCTTTTCTCTCTCCAGAGGGCAACCTTCAACGCATTCTTTGATCTAATGCCACAGTCATGAAGATTTCATGAAGATGCTCGGGTAGTACAGTTCCAATCAGGTTTTAGGAAGAAATTCGGGTTCGAATTCTAGCTGAGCACATTTTATCCGAACATTTCCAATATTTCACTGCTGTAGACGAGGCATTGGCTACATAGGTGTAGTTGTTGCTGTCTCGAACCATTGGTTTACCCTTACTTGTGGTCTCAAAGGTCACCAAAGGGTCCTCCATTGTGAGAAAATATGGAGCTGAACTTGTGTCAACTGTTCTGTTTCAAAACAATGAGAAAACTAAAGTTGGGAATTTTCATGGGAAAATTTCCCGCATTTGCAATAAAAAAGACAGATTTTCATCTTTTTAGAAATTAGAAAATTATGACAAGTAATTATAGCAAGTGTAATTATGGAAAGTGTAACCATTATGGCAAGTGTAACTTATGGCAAGTGTGACTTATGGCAAGTGTGACTTATGGCAAGTGTTACTTATGGCAAAAGTTTTATGGCAAGTGTAATTATGGCAAAAGTATTATGGCAAATGAAACTGAGCCCCTGTTACTATGCGGTAACTTCCCAAGGATATTTTCCCAAATGGCAACTTCCTAAATGTGCACTTCCCATAGCGGCAACTTCCCAAATATGTCCTAGCCACAAAGCTTGGCCAGTCACTCTAGTGTGCCGAGTCCATTAGCGCCTGATCCAATCATGGTTTAGCCATGTTCTGAACCAATAGAAATTGCATGGCGGTAACATCTATCTTTCTATCTAGCTCATTATCCAATTAGAGATAAATCCTTCTATCGGCTCTATAACAGTAAATGGAAATATTTACTTCTACTGAAACTATAGTGCAGTGGCCACCGAGCCTGTTCTAGCCGCAGCGCTCGGCCCTCTAGCACATCCTAGCCTCAGAAGGTCTAACAAAACCCTTCTGGTAGTTGCTGCTTACAGCAATTGCATGTTAGGGTTGAGTCGCCACTTGGGAAGTCGCCTTATACCAAAAATGCAACTGTTATTCTTACTTTTCAAGAAATAATGATACTAAATGGGACCCTTTGTGGTATTGCTAATTAAAAATTCTCTAAGAAGAAAGAATTATTCAAAGCCTCAAAGACATATAAAAGAAAATGCAATATTGAAAAAAATGGGTAATTGTTTTGAATAAAAAATCTATTTATTTTTCCCTGATGCATGGTTTACAGATACAGTGAAGACAAGGGAGTAGGTAGGAGTTCTTGGTGGATCCATTGCAACAGGGGCATTTAGTACATAGTTCAGTTGATGGAAGGGGTGCTGGAGCCCTGGAATATTATATATATTATACAACTAGAGATGGGTGTGTTCTACTTTATTCATTTCGTTTGTTTATTGTTTTTGAACGAGCCATTTCGTAAAATCGCTCGGTCAAACAATCATCTTTCACTTAAAAAAAACGACCGTTTTTTCAGCTTTATTTTTTAAATCAAGAAGTATTTAGAAATCATGGTCATGAATAATCATGATCGTTCAAATGATTTTAAATTGTTAGTTTTTGTTTTTTCTCATTTGTTTAAAAAACGATAATTTTTCATCTCTCTGAATTTAAGTCGTTCGTTTATTTAACGAACAATTTCAATTTCGTTTGTTCAAAAAACGTTGCACGCCTCTAGATAGAACAGGGGCATTTAGTTCAGTTGATGGAAGGAATGCTTGACCCCTGGAATTAAATATAAATCAGAATAGGGGCATACATAGTATACATATAACAAAGTTTAGTGGCAAGGGTGTTCGGGCCCTGGCATGTGAGCATTTAGTATACATAGTTCAGTTGAGAGCAGGGGTGTTAGGGCATAGGATTATGTTACAACAGGGGCATTTAGTACATAAAGTTCAGTTGATAGGAGGTGTGCTGGATCCCTGGAATAGTGGGTACTGTGTATGTTACAACAGGGGCATTTAGTATATAAAGGTCAGTTGATAGAATGGGTGCTGGAGCCCTGGAATAATGGGTATTTAGGGGCATTTAGTACATAAAGTTCAATTGATATGAGGTGTGCTGGGGCCCTGGAATAGTGGGTATGTTACAACAGGGGCATTTAGTACATAAAGTTCAGTTGATAAGATGGGTGATGGGGCCCTGGAATAGTGGGTATGTTACATTACTCTCACTGCATGTGCACAGTGTTCTCTTTCAATGGGAACCAGTAAACTGAATCATAGAAAGACGACATAAATTCAAGCTTCAAATTCATGTGTATTTGATGTTGATATCAAGCAAATAGTTTTACCATGAGCTTGAAAATGAATTTATAGAATAAAAAGGGTCTGTGTATATTGCACAATTCATATATTTATCCAACTGTAGAACAAGATTATCACCCTCAATTGAATAACTGATATTTACATTGAAACCCTGTTATTTCCATAAAAAGATAACTTATTGTTAATTGACATTTTTCAACTATTTTGCTTAATAAACTACAGGGTAGAAGTGTAAACAAAAGTACATTATATAATATTCTTTTATTTACATTGTCCGGTAGTAATGTATTTGTAAACAATGCCGTACACAAACATCAAGAAGAAGTCTGTCTAAAGGTGAAATAAAACCAACATCAACAAAATATATTTAAAAAAATATATATACGTTGTTTGTCTGTCTTTCCGAACCAATAAACGTCAAAACGGCTGAACCAATCGGGCCCGAATTTTGTGTGGGCCCAGAGAAGGTTTGTGGAACATCAAAATTTGAAAAGATAGTGAAAAATCGTGGAATTTTTTTTACAAATGCGCCAATTAGAAAAGAAAAATCCGCTGAAAATATTTAAAGTGGTCGACTTTCATAGCAACAGTCAAAAGCTAAAATGATTTACTGGAAAGCCTAGTATTTTATAAAATATAAAATATATTTTCTAAATATATTCGTACTTTTATACAAACACTCGGGCAAATATTATTCTCATACTGAGAAAGAAAAACAAAAATAACAATGCCAATTTTCAAATTGGTTTTCATATAATGGATTTGGAACAATACAAGTACATATATGCAACTAGGATTATTTCGATATATATCTACGTTATGAAAACTATATAAAATGAAGCATATTCGTAATTGGTTCACTTATTTACTTATTTACAGTTTTTATTAACGAATTTAATTTTAAAGAACAAATAAAATTTTTCGTGAACAATGGTGCCGTTCAAAAACAAAATGAAATAAATAATTTAAACTTTTTTAAAAACGAGTAAGTTTTATAGTCTTTTGAAAATACGTTTTTTTACTGAAAAAAAAATAATTTTCTAAAGGTTTTGAAAAAAAAAAAACATTTTTTTACCAAACAAACTATTTTTTGGTACAAACTTTTAAACAAACTGACCGAACGATTTTTACGAACAAACTTTTGGGCAGTGCAGCGCTGGGTTTTCAAGTAAAAATATAAAGTTTTAATCTCTGTTTGTTTGTTTGGATATCCGATCATAACTCCTGGACCGATTTGCCTCACATTTTGATTGGGGAACTCGGTAGAACCACATGAATGTTATTAGATTGTTTATAAAATTCTATGCTGAGTGGGTTGACTTTTCAGCAGAAGTTTAGTTTTCAGGCAAAGCTGGGTTTCCAAGCAAGTTAAATGCCTTTAATAATAAATTAAAGTCAAGTCTACAAATCAAAAATTCTCTGACATAGAACCAGCTGTTCTAAATAATTGATTCTAGACTTGAAGTCGTCTTAGAACTTAGAATTATTTTGCTGCATTTATTATGCAGCCTAATTTTAGCAATATGTTTATGTAACAATAATCACTATATCGTCCTAGTCCTACTCCAAAATGACTTCAAGTTTTTAATCAAATAATTAATTATTTCAGTTAATTTAGAATGCACTGTATGTCCCACGAAACATGACAGTAGCAAGATCTTCTAATGTTGTGCATCCAACCTACTTAGATTGTTCATTTGACCTACAAATACAGTGCATCTGACCTACAAAAGGTCTGCATCCAACCTACAGTTTATAAGTGTGCAACCGACCTACAGTAGGTCGGATACAGTAACTTCTTTCAATTGAGTGTGTATCCGATATACAGTTCATCGGACCAACAGCAGCTAGAACCTGCTAAAAAACCACGTCCAGGTAGGTCGGAAGTATCGTAGGGCGGATGTAACGTAGGGCGAATGTCATACAATCGACTGAATGTCACAAATAAATTCCAATATCAAAGACGACCTTAACGTCGTCTTCCTACTGTCATGTTTGGTGGGACTGCAGTGTGTATTGGAGTTAAGGAAAGAAACTAATTAAGAAAGTTTGCAACCTGATCCTCTTAATATCTCCGGACATTATTGGTAATTTAGGTTCATCACTGGGTCATCACTTCTACACATATTTATCTATATATATATATATATATATATATATATATATATATTATGTATATATATATTAATATATGTTAAATAGTAATCTCTGTCTGTTTGTAATACTAGCCCAAGAACCTGGAAACCACCTCAACTCAAAACTTTTAACCAGCCAAGCAAAATCCCGTGGTTCTTTAACTCCACAATGACAATTTTTGAGGCAAATCGGTCAAGGGGTTGATGAGTTATGATCAGATATATAAAGAAACAAACAGAGATTACTACTTTATATATCTGTATGCATGATTATAATTCAGGAACCGAACCAATTTGCCTCAAACTTTGATTGAGGAACTGGAATAGAACCTGGGGAATGTTCTTGGCCTGGTTTAGAAATTCATCGAGAAAGTTTAGTTTCCAGGCATAGCTGAGTTTCCAAGCTTGTATTTATATAAGATTAATGCGTCACTACTTAATTGCCTTTTATTTTTCCGGGGTTGGGATGTCCCCCCCCCTCTGAGCCGCTACAGTATTACATATTCAAAACCTTTAAAAATTGAGGTAAAAACATGTTTCTCATGTAAAGTTTTCAAAAGTGAATAAAAAAAAAATTTTACATTATTTCATAAATTTAAATCCCCGCGCCTTTTTATGCTAGATTGCTGCGTAATGAGAAGACGATTTCACTTTTAATCCCAGGCATTTTTAAGGTCACATTTCCTGTTGTTTATTTTGATGCTAGGATTACTATCTGCTAAAGCAACATATCTCGACTAAATAGACTGGACAAATATTTTTTTATTTTTTTCCAGGGCTTTCCTGACTTCTTATTTTAACCCTTTTTAGAGTATTGAAAGAAGTGTTTTTTTTTTCTTAAATTTACTTTTGATTGTTTTTATTAATTTGAATTTAAACGATCAATGTTTTTCTTTATAAAATAGTTTAAAACAAGTGTGTGTGTGTTTAGCTATAACCCGCGGTCAGCCCGAATATTTGAGATAGAAAGATAAACAGGTAGCACAGGCAGCTGGAAGAGTATAGATAGATAGATAGATAGATAATTATATAACTAAAGATATATATATATATATATATGAATGTAGTTATTGATGTATTAGTCTCTGATGGGTCCATGATAACAAATTAGTTTGTAAAAGATAAGAAAAAATAGTTTTCTACATAAATATAATGATATTTGTATTTCAAGTTAGGGAGGGGGTGTTTAGAGAAATAACAAAATTCAATCCACCCCCCCCCTCTACATCCCAACAAAATTGTGAAGAGCGGGGGAAGGCTGACGGCCATGAGCCACAAAATTTCCATCCCATGCTAGTATTAGCTTTAAGTCTTTCAGCAGCTATAGAGCCACAACTATTTGCTATTTAATGGGACTATTAAGTCACTCACTTTCTAAAGAGAGGCGTACCCAATTAACAATAGTACCCTGAAGCCTATAATTTGATCAATATTGTGGAAGATAACGTTGTTTTTCAGGCATGGAAATTGTTTTTGAAGCAAGAAATGCGTAAGTTACGTTTAAATAAAAATAATCAATTTTCAAACACAAAATCATGAATATCTAATGTATACTTGGTCAGAAAAGGCTTCCAATGGAGAGGTCACTTGAAATTACAGTTTTTAGAAAATTTAACCGTTTCTTCTTGTAAAATCCTAAAATGAAAAAATGTAAAAATATGGTTTGACATTTTCGACCAATATTTTACAAGGGCTTTCCAAATATGTAATTGTTAGTTATGGGAAACACAATAACAAAACACGCATTAAAGCTTAGAAAGAATAATAATACTAACCACCTCTAATAAATGAAGTAATGTGTTTTATTAGATTGATTACCCATGGGAAGACGATATTCAAGCAAACTAATGATATTTTAACAAAGCAAATAATTTTACCAAAGCTGCAATCAAATCCGCCAAAAACCGGTTTCAATTTAAATCTCAAAACATTGAATACAAAATAGTATTCAAAATATGAAGCACTGTGCCTTAAACCAAGCAGTATAAACTCTCAACAGGATTAAGCATGGTATGGTTATAAGATGTACAAGAATTTACTGTTGAAAAATTCATTTATATAATCAATTATAATTTTTGTTATATTTCTTACATTTTTATTATAATTACTATAGTATTATTGGTATTACTCTTAATTATTACTTAATTATTGTAATTTGCCCCATATTAAACAAATACACGAGATACTGTAACAAACAAATGAAGAGAGTATATCTTATATAACCAATGTACCTGCCTGCCCTATACCTACACTGCAAATTTTTTACGTAATAAAAAATTAAGAATTTTTGGAAAATAGAACTTTTTCTTAAGAAATTATCCCTAATTTATGACAAGTTTGAAAACGTCGAAGATATAAAAAATAAATTTTTTTTTAAAATTTTTATAATAAAAATTGAATGCAGAACAATATTTTTAAAACTGTTAAAAAAGCATGTCATTAATTTAAATAAAAAAGTGGATAAAAATTTAACAACTTCTGTATACAAAGCATGCACCACCACTTTATATTCAGAATTTCTAAAACAACTATTTAGTTTTTTTTTAATAATTTGCAAAAACTTCCAAATTAATTAAACACGTATTAATTAATGCAGAACTCCCTATCGCCCCCCCCCCCCTTCACCTACTCCCTGTGTATTTGTCAGCTGAGCAAAGCCAGCATAATTATATGCCTGAGGCAGGAAAACTGGCTTGAACTGCACTCCATATGTATTTTTGTAGTGAAGAGCAATAAAGATATATTAGGAAACTTCATATCTTGTTTACACTTCTCCCTGATCTGCAGTACACATTTTTTTTATGTAAACAAATTCATATATATTATATATATGTATATATAATCCAATCAAATCAAATCAAATATTATTTATTTACGCAGAAACATTGATAAATCATTATTTTAAGTGGTAGATTAATTATCAACTGATTAATGTTCTGCGTCTGGAGAGCTGCTATAGCTGTAGCTGTTTTCATATCAGCTCCCCAGTTGCTCGATAATAAAAGAAAGAAAAACTATAGATACGGTATTGACGGTGTGGTGGTGGATGGTTTAGGTTGGGCAGGAGGATTGGATAGAGGAGAACAGGGACCTCTTAGCTTCAACTATGATTTATAAATATTAAATAATCAGGACAATCTGGACTCCAATGAATACATAATCTTACAAATTTCAATTTATCAATTCTGAATATATGATTAACTGGAAATCTATATAAATGAGTAAAGATGATGAGATCGTTAATAACTAGATAAAACCCCCACCCTTTACAATCTGTACACCAAAATTTACTCAACAAATTCCAGAAGATAACAGGGCAGAAAAGGAATAATTGATTCGTAATTTTTTAACCCTTAAGATTTAGAGTCTAGAGCAGGTATAACAGAAAAGTTTATTACAAACAAAGTTTTCTAATCTTTCCAACAGATGCTGTTTAACTGAGTATTTAAAAGCGTTCTTATTGCTTATTGACTGAAATGTAGGATCAAGAGTATTCCAACAAATGGGAAAGGAGTAAAATGGAAATCTAGTAAGAAATTCATTGCGAACTCGAGGCGTAATAAAATCATTGATATTTCTAAGTGGATAAGGATGAACATCAATTCGACTGTTCTTAGGAAAGGTTTTGTTATCTATAAATGAAGATGGTGCATATAGCAATTTTCCATGGAGTGCATAAAATTAAGCTTCTGTTGTAAAATAAGATCAGCAAGAGGTAGGATTTTTAATAAATGAAACAGAAGCTCAGTATGAGCATTGTAACTAGCTTTGCAAATAATATGAATACACCGCTTTTGTTTTAGAGCTAACATGTTTATATTTTTTTTGACTTGAACAGCTAATAACAGGCAGACAATAAAGAAAATATGGATGAATTAAAGCGTAGTATAAACTTTTAAGAGCGGTAGGAGACAAGGAATTCTTTACTTTATTCAGAGTAAATAATGATTTAGAGATTTTATTCAAAGTAGATTTTACGTGATAGTTAAAAGTAAGGTTTTCGTCAATAAAAATACCAAGGACTTTATAAGCAGGACAAGTACTAGAATTTTTTATTCTCTCTACAGGATGAATGAGATCAGGATTAATAGAACAGTTTAAGTCGTTGTTATCAAATACAAAGTTTAGATTGGGATCAACGTTTTTACCCCTTGGATGAAAGATCATGACTTTTGTTTTGCCTGCATTAATAGCAAGTTTATGAGAATGCAATCAAACACCAATTTTTTGCAACTCTTGATTGACAAAAGGTACCATTTCATTCAAATTTTTACCTTTACAAAGACCTGTCGTGTCATCAGCAAAATGGACATTAAGTAGGGCATTAGACTTATGCATGTCATTTATAAATATCAAAAACAATAATGGACCTAATATTATCCCCTGTAGAACAGAAATATTGAGAATTTAAATTTAGGATGGAGACAGACATGTGATGGCAAGTAAATTAAAGTCTCTTCCTCATTTCAGGATCTTTCTTCTCTGTGAAGTAAATCTTTTCTGCAAGGCTCCACGCAGCAAGGATATTTGAATCATTTTTGAGTTCAACAAGTTTCTTGTAATTCAGGGCTGTGAGGTCTTCAGATATGAAAATATGCTTCGGATCCTGGACATCAAGGTAGGATTTCTTGTATTTGAAAACAAACTGACGAAGGAGTCGGGATTGGAACCTTACAATAACTGGATTCGGTTGAGTAGGTTTGTTGGAATCTTTACATCTCATTGGTAGTGTATGAGCATATTCAATCAGCTCGAACATATCAGGAACCTTTGGAATTACCTTTTCCTTGACAGCAAGCGAAAGGATGGGATTTAGAAGATTAACATACAGTACACCAGTCTTGAGGTTGAAATGGCATCTTACGAGGTATCATCACTGATCTTTAATCCAAAGATCCTAATACTGCTGTTTCTGCTATGCTCCTCACGATCATTTACCATATCAGCAAGGTTTCGAATGTAAATTATCATCCTTAACTTTTTTCAAGGTTTCAT